TAACATTAAAATTTGTCAATGAATGGTTATGCTGTGCTGGTGGAGAATGTAATATATGGGAATTATACTAAATCTGAACCGATTTTTTTCATAATTTATATATTTATATCCGGAAAATTGCCCTTAAATTAAAAATTAATGCATTATTTATAACCCATATCCATCGAAAAGAATGCGTATTGTGGCTTTAGAGCAGTTATAATTTGGAATCAGAAGGAATTAGTATATGGGAGGCTATAGAGTTTATTATATGACTTCAAAAAGAATTATATTAAAAAACCAAGTGAAAAGCATTAAGTTCGACCAGGCCGAACTTGCAATATCCTCCACTATATAATAAAAAAATATTTTTCGGCTGGAGAATTCAGAAAAGTTTACAAATTAAAAGAAGTAAAAATGCTGTAAGTTCGGCCGGACCGAACTTTGAAAACCCTCCAGCATTTGCAACGAATTTGGCTACTTTCAGAAAAATTAAATTGGTTAGAAATTTTGTTAAGGTTTTAAAAATATCGAATGTAGTCTTTATATTAGGGTCTATATGACGACGTGGACCTGCATAGGTAACTTTTGTCATAAGGCAATCCGATATTCAATTGTAAAAATTAAAAAAAAAAAAAAACAGTAAAGAAAGTCCTAAAGTCAGGCGGGGCCGATGATATCCTACACCACTTTGCTTATTTAGTTGAGCTCCACTTAATAATTAAAAGTTTTTATGGGAGAATTCAATCATACACGCTATGATTATAATTATAATTCAAAATTCAAAGGACTAAATATGCCGAAGCATTTGTATCTTTTAAATTCGGACTTGCATTGCCCATTTGGTGCGAAATTAATTTGAAATCGGATAAAAATATATATGGGAACTATATCCAAATCTGAACCGATCTCGATAAAATTTGGCAAAGATATTTCTGAGCTGTATTTGATATATTTCCCTGAATATCGTTGTTACGGAGTGCATATTACGGCTGTGGGTAACAAATACAATAAATCGAATGAACAATATATATGGGAGCTATAACTATATCTGAACCGATCTTCACCAAATTTGGCATACTACCTTCTAGACTAAATTCGATCGTAGGTGCCATTTGGACAAATATTAGACGTTTGGTGCACAATAAATGGTAAATCGGACGAAGTTATATATGGGAGCTATAGCCAAATCTGAACCGATCTCGAGAAAATTTAGCAAAGGTATTTCTGAGCTGCATTTGATATATTTCCCCAAATATTTTTGTTACAGAGTGCATATTACGGCTGCGGAGGACAAAAATAACAAATCGGATGAACAATATATATGGGAGCTATAGCTATATCTGAACCGATTTCGATAAAATTTGGCATACTTATTTTCAGGCCTAATTTGGTTGTATGCGCAAAATTCCATACTATTCGGGCTGATATAACACGTTTGGTGCACAATAAAAGGCAAATCGGACGAAGATATATATGGGAGCTATATCTAAATAGGGTTCGTCCTTGGGCCAAACAAATGTTGTTTGCAAAATTTCATCTTAATCGGATAATAAATACGACCTGCATTTTGTTCACAAGAATACATGGACAGACGAAGCACAAAGACATAATACCCTGACCACCTTGTGGTGTAGGGTATAAAAATCGGTGAATAATGTAGCTAAAATTATCAAAATAACGAGTATAGGGAGGTTGCATTATATGGGGGCTATGCTAAAACGTGGACATGTACAGAAAATTTTCTGTCATAGGCTGTATTATCCATTACGAACTTCAAATACCAAATTTGAACAATAGAATAATATCGGTAAAATCATTAAAATACGGAATATGGGGAGGTACCGTTATATTTGGGGCTATACGAAAACGTGGGTCTGCATAAGCAATTCTTTGTCATAGGCTATAGTACCCATTACGAATTCTAGGTACGAAATTTGAAACAACTCCGATGAATAAGGTCTCTAAAATCGTCAAAATATCGAATAGCGGGGGTACTGTTGTATGTGGGTTATACGATATCGTGGACGTATATAGATATTTCTCTTCCAGGGAGTAAAGTGCTGGGAGAGAACTTCTAGTATGGATTTTTGGAACATTCCATAGAAAAATCATCAAAATACCGAATATAGGGAGGTACCGTTATATTGGGGATATAAGATATCGTGGAACTATATAGATAGGGGATGAAGTGCAGACAATTTGGCTACAATCATCAAAATACCGAATATAGGGGGGGGGGGGGTACCGTTTTAAGGGGGCTATACGATATCGTAAGCTTATATAGATAATTCTCTTTCAGGAGTAAAACACTCAAAAAGAACTCCTTGTGTTTATTTTCAGACAATTTCATTCAAAAATATAGCTAAAATCATCAAAATACCGAATATAGTGGACTTTCCGATTTCATTGGAAAATGTGGCCAAAATGATCAAAATGCCGAATAAGGGGGGGGGGGGGTGTACGGTTGTTTGGGGCCTATACGTCGTGGACCTATATAAACAGTTCCCTTCCCGAGGGTAAAGTACATAAAGGGAACTCCTTGTGTTAATTCTAAGACAATTCCATTGAAATATGTGGCTAAAGTCATCAAAATACCGATTATTGTGGAGGGGGGGTTACGGGAGTATGGGGGCTATACGATATCGTGGACCTATATAGACCATCTTCGAACCTTGACCTGCCTGTAGACAAAAACTGATCTGTGCAAAATTCAAGCTTCCTATCTTTATTCGTTTTGACTCTAGCGTGATTACAACACACGGACGGACAGGGCTAAATTGTCATAGATTTTTACGCTGATCAAGAATATAATACATTCAAAAGTAGTAAGTAATAAATCGTGCCCGATTTTGATTATATCGACTTCCTCCTCCTCTTTATATGACATATGTGATAATAGTGGACCAAATACAGATTCAAACATAGGGATGCACAAACCTTTAAGAAATTTGAACACTCATTCCCAATTTTATGCGAATAATTGTTAATCAAACTTGTAACCTTTCGTGGGAGAGGAACGAGAAGAAATGAGTGAGATTTAATGAGAATCGGAAATGCTTATTTCACATTTTTGGTTACGCAACCCTTTGTAGGTTAGGTATCAAAAGGAGTGGGCCAATATATCCCTTCTTCACACCAATATCTAATATTCAGTGTTTTGATGATTTTTGCAACATTTTTCCACTGATTTGTAACATATACGTGGAACATAGTACGTTTAGGGCCATGTTTTCGTATGGCCCCCACATAATAGTACCTCCCGGTATTCAGTATTTTGATGAATGTTCCCACATTTTTGCAGGGATTTGTCTAAAAATTCGTATTTGTAGTTTATAATGAATGGGTTCTAGTTCCGGTGGCAGAACATTGAATATTTGGATCCACGCTTTCCTATAGCGCACATATAACGATACCCACCGATATCCGGTATTGTGATAATCCTAGTCACATTTACCCACGAAATTGTTTTAAATTTGGTATTTAAGAAGATTTGGGAAATGACAATCCTTGAAGTATAAAATTGTCTATATAGGTTCCCATTTTGGTAACGCCCCGATATAACGGCATCACTCAATGGTTTTTTGAAAAGTTTGACTGCATTATCCAAACATTCTTACTGATATTTGTAGTTTAAGGTGGAACACGCTGGAATTCAGATACTTTTATATACAAATGCTTTTTTTGCCCAATGGTGGAGGCCCGGCCGCCATACATTGTATGGAGGGTATATTAAGTTCGTCATTCCGTTTGTAACTCATCGAAATAATCATTTTAGACCCAACAAAGTATATATATTCTTGATCAGAGTAAAATTCTAAAACAATTTAGCCCACAAAAGGAGTTCCTTGTAGGTACTTTATACCTTGGAAGAGAATTATCTATATAGGTCTACGATATCGTATAGCCCCAATATAACGGTACCCCCGGTATGCGGTATTTTGGCGAATTTAGCCACATTTTTCAATGGAAGTGTCTGAAATTCCACAAAAGGAGTCCTTTGTGAGTATTCTACCCCCTGAAAAAGAATTGTCTATATAGGTCCACGATATCGTATATCCCCCATATAACTGTACCCCCCGATATTCGGTATTTTGATGATTTTACCGACATTTTTCAACGGAATTGTCTGAAAATCCACACAAGGAGTTCCTTGTGAGTACTTTATACCTCGGCAGAGAATTATCTATACAGGTCTACGATATCGTATAGCCCCCATATAACGGTACCCTCGATATTCGGTATTTTGATGAGTTTAGCCACACTTTTCAACGGAAATTGTAAACAAGGGGTTTTTTGTGAGCACTTTACCCCCCGACAGAGAATTCTCTATATAGGTCAATGATATCGTATAGCACCCATATAACGGTACCCCCGATATTCGGTATTTTGATGATTTTACCCACATTTTCAAATCGTATTGTCGGAAAATCCACATAAGGAGTTCTTTGTGAGCACTTTACTCCCTGAAAGGGAATTGTCTATAAAGGTCCAGAATATCGTACCCCCCGATATTCAGTAGTTTGATGATTTTACACCCAGACATAGATTTGTCTTAATAGGTCCACAATATCATATAAAACCCCATTTATCGTCACCTTCGTATATTAGATATTGTAAAGATTTAAAAAAAAGTTTAATGGATTTTATTTTTTTTGAAAATTTTCTAATTCGTTCCAAATGGTGGAGGGTATTCAAAGTTCGGCCCAGCCGAACTTACTGCTTTTTTACTTGTTTTTTTTTTTTTACTTTTTTATTTTAATTAAAACGAATTGATATTCTAAGTGAGCGTTCGTTCATTATTTCATTTTGCTTTGATAAGCATTGTGGTGGATGGTATAAAAAGTTCGGTTCTTTTTATTTTTTACTTGTTTTCGCCCACATTTCCAATATAAATTTTTGAAATTTGGTATTACAAGTTCCTAATAGAAGAAATAAGGTATATATTTTAGAAAGTGCTACGTTTCAAATAGTATTGAGCACTCATTATCTTTTCTTTTTTTAACTAAAACAATTCAGTGTTACACAAACTATTTAAATATTTATTAATATTTCTTTGACTTAAAAATCTAACATTGCACATTAAATAATATTAACAAAAACACACCGATTGCCCCTTACATTGGGAAAAACAACACAAATTTCACTTAACCTAAGCCATTGGATGGCCATAGGCTGGAGAATAATCTCTTGAATATGCCGACGGATGAATGTGATGTGGGACATGACCTGACGCAGGATGATGCTGATGATGACCATTCATGCCACCATAATAGTCTTCATGGCGGGGTTTCTGTGAATTCTCCGAAGTACCGTTTAAAAGTTCCGTCATAAATCCAATGTAAGTGATGGCTAAGCGCAGAGTCTCGATGCGTGAGAGACGTTTCTCATAGGCAAAGGTTGGTACCTTGGGACGCAGTTTATCGAAGGCCTCGTTGAGGTTCAGCATTCGCCGACGTTCGCGAATGTTAGCAGCACGCCTCTGAGCCAAGGATGCTGTGCGTCGTCGAACTTTTTTCGTACTGCTGGAGGAAGTTCCGCCATTGGATTGGCTTTTACTCTGCTGCAGGCTTGAAGTGGATGAGGAAGTTGATGATTGGGAAGACATTAAGCTGCCAACATGGGAACGTTGCCACAGAGCTGAAATAATAGGAATTTTTGAAATAAGTATAAGTCTTTTAGAGGTTCTGGGGATCTGTAAAACTTACCAAATTCTGAACTAGGAAATGCGGCCATAAAGTTCTGATATGGAATCATGGGTGGCGGAGGAGGTGGTGGTGCCTCAGAATTCCATATTGGTTGATAGGGTATATCCGTCATGTAACTAGGAACTGTGTGATGTTGCATATTGATTCCTCTTCTCAAATCGATTTTTTTCCTTTTGTATACTTAGTTTGGTATCTTTGGTATTGGAATTTCTCTTTTTCCAGTTTGATTAAAAACACTAATCGCTGGTATGACCTTTCTGCTTGGATGATTATTTATAAATGTGAATTGGTCTAACAGCATCACCACCTTTTATATCCTGCCCCAGGGGTGTAGTAAGTTTCAACTGGAATCAATTTCAACCACCAAATTCATGGGGGGTTAATATTTTACATTTGGGCGCCATTGTGATATTCCAATTGGTAACAGCTTTCTTCCTGCTGATTGGTCAATTCAAATGCGAAATTGATAAGGGTGATTCCCATGGTGAGAAACAAGTTGATACGATGGAGTTATAAATGAACATCAACAACTGAAAACCAGATGTCACTAGGCGGTGGTTGTCTTGAATGAGTGCTGTACTGAAAAACGACCGGTAGATGGCACTTAACGTCACTGTAAAATTTATTAAGATAATGGGGAACACCCTGTAGCAAGAAGTATCGTAGTCGAGTTGTTTATACCCTCTACATATATATTATGGGGGGTTTACTATGTTTGTCATTCCGTTCGTAACTGACCGAAATAATCCTTTTTTTTTTGTATTCGGAATTTGTATTGGGATCTACCTCCTGTGGCATAATATTGTCCATATATGCCCACGTTTTCCTATAACCCCCTGGAATAAGCGATATATTGATTTTAGCCATACATACTAACGGAATTACTTAAAATGCATGGAGTCCGTAATAGTCAAAGTATTTCTATAGCCCCACATCCTCCCAATATTGGGTATTTTGATGATTGCAGCCAACAGAATTGTTTGAAATTTGGATTGGATGTCCCTAATAACAGTAAAAACGCATACCCCTCGTTCCCCCGAGGGGAACATAAAATGGCCCACTGTGCACCAATAAAAAATAGTGAACGCATATGCATGGTACTGCAGGAAGGGTCGTTCTAAGAGCTTTCCACAACGCTATTGGCCAAAATTAGAGAATATTTTACTTTTCCAATTTTTCAGAAGTTATCATCGTGTTCCATTATGCAAAAACCAAAAATAGTTCAAACACATGCAATAGCGCGCTGGAAAGCCCATGAGGTGTACTTTCAAGATATAGACACCCCTAAAAATTTAATCAAGGGCACCCATATGAATGGTACTACACGAAGGTCATTCTAAGAGCTTTCCAAACGCTTTACTACAAATGTAATGGATGGACTTTATTATACCCTACAACACTATGAGTTGGGGGTATTATAAGTTTAATTGGGCCAAAAATTATGTAACACCTCGAAATATTGGTTTCCCACATAGGAAAGTATATATGGATCTTCCTATCTCGCCGAGCTGAGACGATCTAGCTATGTATGTCCGTCCGTCCGTCTGTCCATGTTAAATTGTAATCACTCTACAGGTCGCAATTATGGCCCGATCTTCACGAAATTTAGAATGGAGGTGGGGTTAGGGCCAGAAGATAACCCTATTGCTTTCAGATATGATCGCATAATATTTAGGGGTTGAAATGGACCAAAAACTGAAAAATATCATGATTTTGCAGCTGCTCTACAGGTCGCAATTATAGACCAATCGAAGCGGAAGTTAGCATGGGGCTAGAGCTTTGGGCTGGGCAGAAGCCTTCCAATTTTGATGGTCATCGGGTAATATTTATTGGGTGAAATAGACCATAACATTTGTGTTATATAGAAGTCCAATTTTCTATTAAACCGCGAATATTTTTAATCCCAGTGAAATCACAAATAGATGAACAGGTCAACTCTGACCGTTACGTAGATGCCGATAGTAAATATATCGGATGCATATAGAGAAATATATACAATGTGTATATACAAAGGAAGGGGATGTTAGCTAGATTGCTTATATCTCAAGAATGGCCAGACCGATTTCGACAAATTTTGTCCATTCAGAATGCCCTCTTAACATAAAATATAAAATCTAAAAAAAGATCTCATAAAAAGATGCCTATAATGATGTTATTATAGATTTTGTAGTATTATGTGACATTTTTTTATTTTTTCATATTTTTTATCGCATGAGTTATATGGATTAAAACACATGTAATTTATTTGATTTATTTAAATATTTTTTATTACACATTACAAATGTAAGGCCGTTAAACTCTAAACTCCAACTGAACTTAAATTAATAGTGTTATGAATATTTAAACTAAATATAGATAAAGAGAAATAAAGAAAATAAAAAGAGAGTGGAATATTCATTGAGAGAAAGAGATATTAGAATAAAGAGAATGGTAGTGGCAAATGGGAGACAGTGATAATGATTTGGTGAAATGAATACAAATAATAAAACAAAATGGGTAAAAACAGTAAATAAAATAGAGTGAAGGGCATAATTTAATTCTTATATATTTTTAAATACGTAACTCATGCGATTTTTTCAATTTGACTTATTATAATGAAGTGTAAATTTTGTAATATTTTTTCACCTTACAACACAGGTTGGGGTTAATTTATACTGATTGCAATTATTTTCACGAAAAAGGGAAGGGTTAGGCTCAGAGTGGCTAGGCCTATTGTTTTCAAAGATGTACGCAATGTTCCTAATGTTGCAGCCGTTATAAAGTTAACAAACCGAATCCAAAGGAAATCCTGCATGAAGTTAGAGCTTAGGACAGCGGGTAGAATGGACCACTACTTTTGTGTATAAAAATACCAACATTACTTACAGGCGATATCCGAAATACACAAAAGTTGAACTTCTGGCTTTTTTATGCTGATTTCGTTGAAGAATAAAGCCAAATATCGTAGACAAGCAAATAATATAGATGAGTTTAAATTTGGTGATACAGAGGGACATCTTGCTTTTGGAGTTGATCGCAAAATGTTTAGGGGTAGAAGTAATAACATCTGCTAAAGTCACAACTGGTGAAAGAAATTGCATATTATTTTTAAGAAACATAGACACATTTAAAAAAAAAAAGATATAATTTTGTGTGTACCTCATTATTTTTATTAAACGTTGTTAAACTCACATGAATTATTAGTTTCTTTGTTTTTAGGTTTCAATGTAATTTTTTTTTTTTTTTTTGGAAATAAATTTTTACTCCAAAATTAAACTTGTTTTATTTTTTTCACGTAAGGTATACAGAAATTATTCGAGTTGTTCGACTTATTCGATAAATCGAATTATTTGAACAATTTGAGACTCTTAATCGAACAAATTTAAAGCCCGAAAATCGATTAATTTTTAATCGAACAAAACCTAAACCCGATTAATTGTATACTCTACTACATACCAAGTTGCAGCTTCTTACTACATGTAATTAGAACTTATAGGTGTAACTTTCTATCTAACTATAAAAGAGAAAACGTTCGTTTGCTGAACAGATTTTCCTGAAAATTTCCATGTATGGTGTATGGTTTCCATGTATGCATGTCCGAATCCAATGAAATTTTGACAGAGAGACGAAATTTGGTAAAAAAAAAAGTTGCCAAATTATATTAAAATCGGTTGAGGTTTGGGTATAGGTTCAGATTGAATATGGTTTTATAAAAGGGTATAAAAAAGAAGGAATGAATACATCCCCTTAGTGTGGAAGTTATAGAAGAGCGTTAAGTTTGGCCTCTTTGAAGTACTATGGAGGGTATATTAACTTTGTCATTCCGTTTGTAACTCCTCGAAATACTCATGTCCGACACAACAAAGTATATATATTCTTGATCAGCGTGAAATTCTAAATCGATTTAGCCATGACCGTCTGTCTGTCTGTTGTAATCACGCTATCTTTCGAACGAATTGAGAAAGAATGCTAAAATTTTGCACACAGGTTAAGTTCGTAAATGGGCCATGTAGATCCACGTTTTCATATAGCCTCCATATAACGGTACCTGCCGATATTCGGTATTTTGATGATTGTAGGGATATTATTCACCGGAATTGTTTAGTATTTGAAATTCGAAATGGATACTACAGCATATGACAGAAAATTGTCTGTGCAAGTTCACGTCTTCGTATAGCCCCCATATAACGTTGCCCCCAAAAGTCGGTATTTTGATGATTTTAGCGTCATTATTCACCGGAATTGTTTCAAATTACGTATTTAGAGTTCGTAATGGGAACTGCAGTCTGTGACAGAAAATTGTATATGCAGGTCCTGGTCTTCGTATAGGCCCCATATATCAGTACCTCCCGATATTCGGTATTTTGACGAGTTTAGGTACAATACCCACCGAAATTGTTTGAGATATCGTATTTAACGTTAGTAATGGATGCTATAGCCTGTGACAGAAAATTGTCTATGATGATTACCGGATGATTTTAGCTACATTATTCACCGTTTATTTCAAATTCGAATATGGTAATAGCTAATGGCAAACAATGCCTATGCAGGTCCACGTCGTATAGACCCCAATATAACGGCTATATTCGGTATTTTTAAAATTTTATCAGAATTTTTTAAAGATTTTATTTTTTGAAAATTTCTAAATTCGTTCCAAATGGTGGAGGGTATCCAAAGTTCGGAACTTACTGCTTTTTAACTTGTTTACAATAACGTATTAGAAATTCTATTGCAAAAATTAATAATACTTTTAAAATCCTACTAAATTGCCGATGAAATTTCTAGCGATGGAGTCTCTATGGGGTAATTTTAGTACCAAGCAACAATAATAATAAGACTAAAATATTAAAAAACCAAAAAAAAAAAAAAAAATAATAATAAATAAAAAATAAATAATAATAAAATAAGCATAACACTTAAACGACGGGCTAAAAATGCAGACCGGGTCAGCTTTTTTGGAATCCATTTCTGAAATGTTTGCGTCGATTTAGGGGTGCTGTCGTTTATTCTGCTGGTTGGTACGCATGATAACTCTCGAAGGGAGTATCCGATTTCGTCCAAACTTGGTAAATCGTAATATTATTGTCAAATATAAATCGAGTTTGGATGTGAGTAGCATCGGTCCATTCTTCTTGGTACCTCCCACAGAGTATGTAATAATTTTCAAAGATTACAATTTAATTCATAGAAAAATAAATGATTATCCAACTTTGTTAACACTTTGCAAATTGTTGTGTTTTTATCAATGTAGGAAAATAGACAATACCTCCTACAAAAGATTATACT